GTTAATTCACTCCCCATACCATGAGACTAGATGAAGTACCTTCTCCTCAAACAGCAGCCCTCAGCCCTGGCTGTAACCTGAAAAAAACCACCCAAGGAGCTTTTGGGAAAATACTGCCCAATTCCTGATTTGATTGGCCAGGGTGTGGGTATGTGTGTGTATGGGGAGGTATTAAAGTTCTGTGGGTGGTCCTATGGTGCCATCCAGGTTAGGGAATTGCTAACCATGTCAAAGCTCAGAGTCACCAACAGGTGCAACGTGACTTTGGCTTTTCCTAACTGACGCCTTGAGAGTTCCCTGACATTAGTTTCAGCTGTGATGATTTGACTGGGCAGCAGCCTGTGTGATGTCTGATGGACTCATCCACACTGGAATTTCTATTTGAAGAAACAAATTCCTTTGAGATGATTGGGCGTTCTCTTTATTTTCCCTTCGATTGCCCTCTTGGGAGAGGTAGTATCCTTACTGGTGTTGTGCCCTAGCCCCAGGACCATGGTTTTCCAGCCTGAGAAAACTCCAAGTTTAATTGGAGTAGAAAGGGAACCTTTTGATATTTGTGATGGAAAAAAGTAGACAAGTCCCACTTTCTAGGCCAATTCTTGTTGGAGTGTTGGCGGAGAATAGCCAAGCACCTTCCCATTGGTGCCCAGGTAAAGATGGCTGCTCTCCACCACTACTCCATGGGGTGGGCTTTGGATTGTGCTGGCCTGGACGCTCAAGGGCGTGTGGTACTTACAGGCTTTAGGAATTAGGGATCCATTTTCCTTGCCATGGCCTGAAGGAGACTCAGTCAGAAGAAGCAAGCTTCCAAAGACATGGAGGTGTTAATTCAGATTACATGCATGTTACTAAATCTGACAAGGCTGGATGTCACTGGGATCCAACTATACAACATTCTGAAAGGCCTGGTCTTAAATGTGAATTTGAATACACCCCACTGGTAAATTTAAAAACCTTTTTTCCTCACATACAAATAATAGCATGTTTATTGTAGAAATACCGTAAAGAGAAGAAAATCGCCTGCAATGCTACCACTTCTGAGCTGTCTCCTTACTGCTGATGGATTGCTGTATGCTTTTCTGTTTTTGTCTCTCCACCCACACATACGCACACACTTCCTACAAGTTATTGTTGAGGTGATGTTCAGAGGGGTTCCAGTTATCTAAGTCAGGTAATGAGTACATTTCTTTTTGGACCATGTCACTCCTTGTTATTCTCTTTGGATATACTGATTTTTCCCAGTTATTAAAATGGGTCTAAACATCATCATTTATTACTGAAGATTCTTTATTCAGTACTTTGTCTATGTGAGAACTGATATTTTTCTTCAGTGTTTCCTTCTTAGATACATCTATGAATGTCTTTTTGTGTTCAGATAAAGAAATAGAATCACTGGGTCCAAACATGAATATGACCCTATTGATCATAATTGTCGTATTACATTAACCCAATATACTCTTTTACACTGGTACTTTATCAGTACTACACATTGTCCTTTCTCCAAGCTAACCTTTGCTCATCTGACTATCCCTAAATGGTGCCCCCCACCCCCTTTATGGGCTTTGACCACAGTGAGGCTGTTTGTTGACCATTGCTATTTTCTCCTGAAAAGTACTTTCTTGAGATGGAGAAGTAATTCAGTGATACAGCACTTGCCTAGCATGTGTAAGATGCTGGATTTGTTACTCATCGACTGAACGAGTATGAGAGAGAGAAGGTGGGGGGAGGGAGAGAGAGGGAGAGAGAGAGGCTCATTTGTACCCAATTGTCTTTTGAGGTTCCTCTTTTTTTCTTATTGACTTACAAAAACATTTTTTAACGTAGACTATTGACTATATATGACAGATACATATATGTGTGTACATATCCTTATTTATGTAAACATCCCCCACCCATTTTGACTCTTTATAGAGGACATCATGTGGTATCTTTGTGTTTTCTTCCCTCCTTATTTAATTTACCTGTCACAGATATGTCGTTTATGTCCCTTAAAGATATTAAAAGGACCTCCCAAGACCCCTGTAGCACACACTGTGGTCTTCACTTGGAAACATCTGTGTAATTGTAGCCTCATTAACTCATGTCTTTATCTCTGCCTCTGACAATTATAAAGTACACAGTTAATTTTTACTTGATCGTAGGCCCCTTAAGAATCTTGGCAAATGTTTAGCTTGTAGGCAAAGATATCCAGGCCAGCTCACAAGTTACTCTGCAGTTGGCTACAATGGATTGAGGTGTTTTTTTTTTTAATTTTCTTTTAATCCACCTAAAAGAACTCTGTGTTTCTCTACCAGTAAATTCTGACAATCTTATCTTACACACTTAATAGCATCTAATGGTTCTCTCTCTAGGTAATGTGATCCAGCTGGGGATGTTTTTGAACAAAAGGGTATTTTTCTCTAGCCAGTAAGTAAAAGTGATTTTTCTCAGCTATAAAAGGACAAAAGGTTTTGAAACGATCGCACTGGGCAGGGTTTCCTAGACTTGTTGTTTTGGCAGTTGGCCATCTTTCTGAGACTGAGTCGTCCAAATTTCTTCCTTTTTTGTATCAGTGTGAAGAATTCACTGGCTGAGTCCAAAGTCACTTTGGGGTGTGATGATTAGTGTCCAGTGTCTTCTTAACCTAGATATAAGCCTAATGTGACATCCAACAATGCCATCAGCAGATCACGGATCAGTGCGTTAAGAACTAACAACATGACTCTTTGTCTTTTTGACTTAAGTAACGTCACTGCTCTCCCAGGGTTGTATATTTTCCCTTTTAAGAACAAAAAACATTTAAGCATTTAAAATGGTAAGTATAAGAATGGTGCATGGGCTGTAGCTACAGGGAGACACCATGAAAGACATTTAAGTTAGCTAAAGATTTGTTTCATCCTATTTAAAAATGAGTTTAGCAACTTTGTGACATGGTTCTCACTTGCTGATTTTCTATTTATGTTTTTCACAGTCCTGGAAGCCAAGAGCACTGTTCTCTGTTGTTCCAGTCCTATTTCTTAAGACATTACTGCTACTAGAGTCATGTGTGTGTGTGTGTGTGTGTGTGTGTGTGTGTGTGTGTGTGTGTGTGTGTGTGTGTAACAGAATAATTTGTCTCCAAGTATGTATTGAGGGATCAACATGAACATTGACTCAAGAGCCTGCCATTTTTTTAGGGACAAGGTATCACTGGTCTTAAACTAAAGATCTTCCTACTTCAGCTTCCTGAGTAGTTGGGATTACAGGTACATGTCCACAGGTCCCAGAGCCTGCTCTTTTAAAGGCTATAATATTGATGATGATGTGACCATTTTACAAAGAAGCAGAGGCACAGTTCTGTGCCTCTTGGAGTAGCCGAAGATGATTGAAATCCTCATTCCTAAGCCTTCCTGAAGCTTTTCTCATACAACAACTGATCCTTTGACTTCAGGGCTTTTACCCACTTTAGAGGAAGCATGCAACTGACCACCCAAGAGATGCTTCAGTGGTCCTGCATCATGTTTCTAGATGAACTTCTTACTGGACGCTTCTTGTTTAGACTTTACTCTTCTATTGTGTGTACATATAATAAGACTGACCTCTCTGTCCTATAATATACAAGTAGCTTCAGGATTTGGCTTTCAGGCTCCTTCCTGCCTCAAAGACTTTGCATTTGCTGACCCGTGGCTTGGAACACTCTCTCCCTAGACCTTGGCATGGACAACTCCTCCTCAAGTGTCAGCTCAGATTCTTTATCTCAGTGGGCCTGACCCAAGTGACCTGTGTTAGTCTTCTAGGGCTATCTCTACACGAGCTGAGTGCCTTAAAACAATAGAAACTTATTCTCTCTTAGTTCTAAAGGCCAGGAATCCAAAGCCAAGGCGTTGGTAGGACTATTTCTTCACAGGCTCCAGGGAGGGTCTTTGCTTACCTCTTCAGTTTGTGGCGGCTCGATGCTTTCCTTGGCTAATGGTAGTAGAACTCCCATCTCAGATTCTCTCCCTCTGGATCATCTCTCTCCATTTCTCAGTGTCTTTTCTCCTGATAAGATCCCTTGTTCGCCAGGCACCAGTTGCACATGACTGTAATCTGAGCAACTCAAGAGGCTGTGAACTGAGGATCGAGATTTGAAGCCAGCCCTGGCAGGAAAGTCTGTGAGACTCTTATTTCTAATTAGCCACAAGAAGCTGGAAGTAGAGCTGTGATTTAAGTGGTAGAGTGCTTGGCTTGAGCATAAAAGCCCAGGGACAGTGTGACCAGGCCCAGAACTCAAGCCCCAGGACTGGCAAAAAAAAATTTTTAAATTGAAAATAAAGATAGATAAATAAACTATTGTTACTGGGTTTAGGGTTCACCAAGATAATCCAGAATAATTTTATTTCTTGGATATCTAACCTAGTAATACCTACAAAGACCATTCCTCCCAAAAGAATGCATCTGATGGGATCACCATTCAACTTTAGATAAAGGAGTATTTGTCGCTGTTATTTTCTGTGACATAGGCATTTCAATTTTTTTAAGTACTGGCCTTTATTTGTCGCATTTTGGTCTTTTATCTGTCTTATTTTTCTTTTGCTTGTTTCTCTCTAGTTAAGTTCAAATTTTTGAGTAAAGGGCATTTTACTACTATATCTCTAGGCCGTAGAGCAAGGCTCAGTACATTGTTGGGATCACCAAGTCTTCACTAAATAAAAGGATGAATTAACGATACCATTGTGCTGATGCAGTCAGCTACGCTCTTCAATTTCTTCAACAGTCTCTAGGATTTTACTGTGTTTTTGTCAACATTCTATGTTGTTTGTTTTTCACTTGCCTATTTTTGGAAAAACAAATATATTGTGGGGCATGTACTTTACACAGTGACAGATGTAACCGATCATTTCAACATAGCCTTCAGTTATTAATTGGTCTTACTAGTTTCTTTTGCTTTTGCTTTATACTCTCAACATTCCCACCTCCTCCAGAACTCCTTCCTCTTCCATGTCTCTTCAAAGTACTTCCCAGAAAAGATTCTACAGCAGAATCTTTCTTTCTCCCCTTAGGGTCTGATCACCTCCGAGAGAAAGATGGCCTCTGGGCTGTTTTGGTCTGGCTGTCCATTATTGCTGCCCGGAAGCAGAGCGTGGAGGAAATTGTTCGAGACCACTGGGCCAAATATGGCCGCCACTATTACTGCAGGTAAGAAGGGGAAGGGCCTCTGTATGTCCCCAGGGCAGCTGTGTTTCCTATAGCTGATGTTTTCTATAACTGTTGGGCTACCACTTTAAGAAAGAGACATCTTTCAGAAACATCAGAGGGAGCAAAAGCCAGGAACTGAGTCACTCTAATAGGTGGGTCAATGGCTACCAACAGACAAACGTTGTGCCTCCCCCGATGTAATCCCTTCCTCAGTGCAGATGAGGTGGGCAGCCCTATCAGGAGACTATCTGAACCACAGAGCGTTGAGAGTCATGTGGTAGCCATGTTGGCTCTGAGAGTCACGCAGTCAAAGCATAGTGTGTATCAAGGAAGGACCTGACGCAGAAGCTGCACTGGGTTGAGGTGTTGTTTGTATTGCTCTCCTTACCCTTGACTTCTCTTCACACTGATGGTCAGAAAGAAGTCCATCTTAAGATGCCAAAGCTGGCACCCCCTGGGAGGGACCACATGTCTCAAGAGCCCCAGATATTTTTATGGAAATAGAAACAAGAAAGGGAAATACTAGCTAGGAAGAAGGCATGTGAAAACACAGTGGGTGGGGGTTTAAGATAGGTAGGTGGTCTCAGCGTCTTTCCTGTGGTTAAATAAGAGGAAGGAGGAATGTTCTAGAGGCATGGTTGCTTGCTAGGTTTGGGAACCTACATTTCTCAGGTATGCGTACGTACTATTAAGCCATGGTTAAGGATAGGATGTGAACTGTGGAGGAAGGGGTTTGAGGCTAGTCTCAGAGACTATAGGCATTTAAAACAAGGAGGTTGTTTTGTTTTGCCTATGAATCATCAAATGCTTTGGGTGTTCAGTTGTGTTTCTGGAGCTTGAGAGGCAGAAAGAGAGCTTTAGATTTTTCCCTTATAAGGTGATTGTTTCTTCTTTGGGGAAGCCATTTACTTAGATAGCTATCAGAGAATAAGGAAGACTATGATAGTGCTTATTAATCTTAAGGAGATTGCAGTGTTCTGGGAAACAGCAACACCATAATATTCTTGGTCCCTGTTTAGTTGAGAAGGCTGGGAAAGTGGCTTTCAGACCACCCCAAATGATTCATTGCATCATGAAATAGGGATTCTCAAAACAGGTATAAACTTGTTTTACACATCAGTACTTCTACCAAGTATGACCCCCTGATTCGTGTGGAGTTTTATTTATTTTGCATAGCAAGGGTTAATCAGTACATGGAATTCTTTATTAAGTTTTTCCAAAATAATTCGAACTGATAAAACATATTGTGATTGCCAACCTCTGGCTTAATGTGATGATTTTGAGTCACGGATGCCTTCCTCATAATTTGTGGAATAATTATCTAGATTCCTTGCCAGTGTTTTGAAGAAATGGTGTTATGAAAGGCATATTTATAATATAGTTTATTTTTGTGGCCAAGACCTTACAATGTTAATCACCTTTCTCATAACAGATGCCATATTAGAGCATAGTATGCAGAGCAGATTTAATTTCTTGTAGGACATTAAATTATGTCCAAAAAGATCACTGAGATAAAGAAAAGGGGAGGAAGGAATAGGTAGAACAAAAGATAAACATTCCCTTCAACCCCAGCAGATGGCAAGTGGGAGGTTTTTGAAATAAATGATGACCAGCCTGACAAATTTCTTTGCAGGGAGGAAATCATAAAACAATTTTGATTTAACTAATACAATCCCTATGGTTGTATCTGAGAAAATCTCCCACATAGTTTTCCTTGTCTAAGTAGCCCTAGAAACAATTTTCCATTTGAAATTGTGTTGCTGCATGTGGTAGTGATGGCTGGAGGGGGAAATGTTAGGTAATAAAGAGAGGGTGGCTCTAGGACCTGCTTGTATATGAATATGAGCATTGAAATGGCTGGTCCGAGCATGAGCTCAGCCATAGACTGAATGTGATCTATTATCCATTAGTGGATTGTCTCAATTTTGAATCTCCTTCAGCACTTAGCTATCTCCTGATTGTCCTATCCCATCTTCCTGGCCCCTTGAGTTAACTCTTGTTTTTGTTTTTGTATTTTTTTTTTTTTTTGAGACGGGTTCTTGCTACATAGCCTAGGTTGGATTTGAACTTATGATCCTCCTGACCTAGCTTCCCAAGGGCCAGCATTATAAGTGCATATCATTGGGCCCAGCTCTTGCTTGGGTTTTAACTTCCTCAAATGACAGTCTTTAAGGAGACTCTAGAGTCATAGCACTTGTGTTGATAGTATTCTAAGGCGTTCTCTGTTGTTTTGTTTCTGAAGCTGGGGAAGAAACACTTTGCATAAAAGGAAGAGAATAAAAAGGGCTATAGACACCACTGGCCATGAGGGCATTCTCTGCCCTGATATTTACTGGATATTCCCTTAGAAAGAATAATGTAATAACAACTATTGGGACTTTCCTTCTTTTGCTTTGCTCTGTGAAGTTATGTGAGATTCCTCCAGAGCCACTGGCCCTAGCTGCCCCAGCTTGAGTTTCTTTTGTAGATCAGACCTCCTGCATGTCAGTAGCTCTCAGACAAGACTAACTGATGTTAGGAGAGACTAGACAGTTTCCGGATTAGAAGTAATTAATAGATTTTAAGCTCTGATACCTTGCACTGAGCCAACAGATTGGTTTGCATTATCATATTTTAAATCCTACAACAACAAATGAGCAAGGAGTAATAGTCCTTTTCCCCTTCTAATCATTGCCTGGCCCCGCTGTTCTGTTTGATGCCAATGGTGATGCTTCTTCCAACTTTTCAAGAGAATTTGACAGTATCTTCAGTTCATCTCTCCTTCTCTCTTTGCCTCCCTGTCTCCTTGCCTCTAATTCATCCTCTATTCCAGGCTAGTAATCTAGATAGCCCTTACCATGTTTCAGAAGTAGCAAGAATGAGAGCTGAGATCTGTATCCTCCTGACTCATGTTCTGTGGGTAGAAACAGATAATAAGTAAACAAATATAGAAACAAGATAAATATTAACTGGGATATATGTTAACTGGGATATGTATTAACTGGGATATATATCTCAGTTATATAATATGTACTATTATATAATATATAATATACTTATATATAGTATATTATGCTATAATATACTATATATAAGTATATATATACTATATATAAGTATATATAGTTATATATATAAACATACTATTTATATTATATAATATATACTATATTATATTTACTATATATAATATATGTATACTATATATAGCATATATATAATATACTATATATAGTATATATTACATATAATATATATAATATAATAAATATAATAACATAATATATATTATATATAATCTATATAATATATAATAAATATAATATAATACATATAATATAATATATATAATGTATAATATATAATATATAATATAATAAATATAATAATATAATATATATAATCTATATTATATATTATATAATATAGATTATATATAATATATATAATATATATAATTAATATATAATATATTATTATATATTATATAATATTATGTAATTAATATTATATAATATATAATAATATATTATATACTATATATAGTATATTCTATATTATATAATAGTACATATTATATAACTGAAATACATATCACAGTTAATACTTATATATTATATTATATTATATAAATAGCATGTTTATTTTATATATTATATTATATTTATATATAATATATTTATATATTTATATAGTATAGATTAACTGTAAATATATATACATATATATATATATATATATATATATATATATATAGGGATGAGCCATGGATAGGAATAAATACTAGGATGATGCCTGCTCAGGAAGATATTTTTTAGAGGTGATGTAGGTTTGAAGATTGAAAGAAGATGATCCAGCTCTGGGAATGTTCCAGACCTAGAGGAGTAGAGAGACAGCTGAGGTAAAGGAAACAAAGAGCAGGGACAAAAGCTGGGGACAGGAAAGGGTGACGGTCACTAAGGGTTGAGGAGGAGGCCTGATGGCTACAGCAAGTGAACAAGGATGAGCAACCAAATCATGCCACTCCTGTTCTGAAAGCATTTAACATACCAACCACAGCCCTCCCCCGCACACTTGACTTAGCATTGCTCTTCTTCTCATCCTTGCAAGGACATTTTGGAAGAGCGGAAATGAGGTACGGCTCCATTTCTGTGCCCTCATTTCCTGAAATCACAACCAATGTCTAGGTGCCCTCAAGGGGCCCATTTAGTTGCTGGTTCTCTCTGACTGGGTTACTTATTCTTCCTGTATCCTACCTTCCTTTGCCTAGGTTTGACTATGAGGGGCTGGAGCCCAAGGCAACTTATTACATTATGAGGGACCTGGAGGTCCTGGTCACAGACAAGTCCTTCATCGGCCAGCAGTTTGCTGTGGGGAGCCATATCTACAGTGTGGCAAAGACAGACAGCTTTGAATACGTGGACCCTGTGGATGGCACCGTGACCAAGAAACAGGTACGTGCTCAGGGGATCACCCGAACAGGTTACCAGGAAGAGCTGATGGGAAAATTATCCCCGCCCCCCAATGGGAGATACCAGTTGGGGACAACCTGTTCAGTCCTTCATCTCGCACAGGAGAACTTTGCAGCCAGGAAAGAGAAAGTCCTCAATGATGTCAGCTCCATAGTTAGTGTCCAGCTAGTTAGAACTAGGACTCCTTGTCTAGTATTGTTTCCCCTAAGTAACTCATAGACTGACGTCTCAAAGGCAACATTTCCTTCTCCGATATTTGCAGCCTACAAGAGCAAAGGTGGTGGCCATATTGGGTGATTGGTTCAGAGAGATTTCTCAAGAGCAAAAGATTCCTGTCCTTGGGGCCCGAAGGTACAAGTGGTGTGTCCCTGTCACTGAGAGTCATGGGAACTTGGACAGGTGACTTTGCTACTGGACAGAAGAAACATTTGGTTAATTTGTGCAGAAAACCCAAAGGGAAGATGCATGATTGAGAGTAATTTTCACTGGTTAAGAAACAAAATATCCATGATTTTTATTATGTTCTTGTTTTTTGTGAATGGTGGAAGAAATGTTAATAGCTCTATGATTCCTTGTCTTCACAGCTTTGTTTATTATTGATTATGGCAATACTTGACCAATCCAGGAGCACAACGTAGATGTTAAATTATTTACAGTCTAAATCATGCCACCAGTAATATTTGATGTTCAATCTCTAAATTCTTATGTTTTTAATATGTTTTTTAGAAGTGAAGACAATAAAATAGTCTAGAAGCTTTAGGTCTGGGAAATAGAAGTCATGTGACTACTGCTGGGTTTTTTTGTTTGTTTGTTTGTTTTCCAGTCCTGGAGCTTGAACTCAGGGCCTGGGTGCTGTTCCTAAGCTCTTTGTGCTCAAGACTAGCACTCTACCACTTGAGCCACAGCACCACTTCCAGCTTTTTCTGAGTGGTTTATTGGAGATAAGAGCATCACGGACTTTTCTGCCTGGGCTGGCTTTGAACCTTGATCCTCAGATCTCAGCCTCCTGAGTAGCCAGGATTAGAGGCATGAGCTACTGGTGCTCAGCTGGCCACTGCTGTATTTTTTTTTATCAGACTCATTTTGCCTGTACCCCCTGTGTTATAGGAACCCCTATCTTGTAGATACCCCAACTTCCAATGCCTCCTGATACCCTCTCTGGTCTACTTAGGGATCAGGCACCTCCATCACATTATCAGCATTTCATTCTAGAAGCTCTTGTATGGCCCAATGAATGGATTATAGATCCAATGTGGAAAGAAGAGGGGAACAGAGGAAACACTGTCTAGAAGACTCAGAATCAAAACATGCCATTTGACAGCTGTGACTTTGGAAAAACTTTGGGGAATCTGCCTGATTTCTTCGCCGCTGCCACCGCCGCCTCCTCCTCCTCCTCCTCCTTGTTTGTCTGAGATTTGGATCTAATGTTTGTGCTCAGTGGCTGGCTCTCTACCACCTGAGCCGTGCATCTAACCCTGGCCTCATTTCTTTGAAACCTTAGTTTCTTCCTCACCTGTGGAATTCCCATCCCACAGAACTCTCTTGGAAATGGATTGGAATAATCTATACAAAGCTCTCAGCTCTCCTTTTTATTTTTTTTAATGGGCTGAACATAACTCATTTTTATAGTTGTGGTTTCTTATTTTTCCCACCAGGATAGCTGCTTATAGACAGGACTGAATGTTCTCAGCAGTACCAGCAGTGAATCAGACTTTGGAGAAGAGAAGTCAGGAGCTCAGCTGGTCTCACTGAACCTTGGAAAAGTATTTTCCAGTTTTGTACCACATTCTCGTTTTCATTTTATACAGGGCACACTTTCCCCAGATCCAAGGCTCACTTTGTTTTTTGATGCCTTAGGATTCAAGAGACGTGAAATAGGTACTTTGTAAAGAATTCTTGGGAGGGTTTTGCTCACAAGAGGAGGAAGGTTTGGAAACCATCCTTGGAGAGATTGGTCTAGTCAGGGCTAAGTTCTGGACTTTATCTGGTTATCAGAAGCTTGTCTGTGGAGCCAATTTGCTTTGCTGTGTAAGGCAGTATTTCTCCACCTTATTTCTTTCTCAGTGCACTCTGCATCTCGATACTTTTTTCTTGGATGTTCTCCAACCGTTCCTATCGGCCCAATTCCTCAGCTGAATCTCCAATCATGACATCAGTTTCTTCCATGTCCCCCCCGCCCCCCACTCTACAAGTACAGATACTGGTTTCCTCTCTAACTCCAGAATTTATTGATTTCCCCCCTTTCTATAATGTTCCATTTGATCCCAAATGTGGCTATAAATAGATAAGCGTTACCAGGATTTGCTTTTAGGAAATTTTCTAGGAAAGAAACAAAGAAGATTATTGCTCATTTCCCCAGATTTTAGGACTCTGATGACATCTTCGTTGGCTGATAGCCCTGAATCATGCTGGAACATCTCTGCTGGGCTGGATTTAGGGTATTGAGGGAGATAAGGGAGTAATCAACACTCATGGCATCTTGATTGTCTGCCAATCACAGATGATTCTTTTACTGCCATGAGTCCTGTTGGGGTCCTGTGCAGGGTCCGACCATGCAGCCCTGTGCAGTCCCGTGCGGGCTGCATAACTGGGCTGCTAGCACTCGTGGCATGTCGACACATGACCACATTTGATCCCCAGAATAGTTGAGCTTAGGACATACTTTGGGCAGTGTTGTGCAAAAGAAGCATACCTTTCGAGCAATAGATGCTGAAAAGACATACTTGAATTTCAACCAACTTATTTCCAAAGTGATCATTAAAAAATAACCTCGGTGCAGTCAGGCACCAAGGATGTATGCCAATAATCCTAGCCACTCAAAAGGCTGAAATCTGACCATCACAGTTCAAAACCAGCCATGCTAGGAAAGTAGATGAGATACTCACTTCCAGGTAAGGGCAAAGAAAGCTGGAAGTAGAACCGTGGCTCCAGTGGTAGAGGGCTAGGCTTAAGCTTAAAAGCCGAAAGAGATAGTGCCCAGGTCTTGAGTTCAAGCCCCAGAACTGGCATGCACACAGCAAAAGAAACTTGGTGCATTCACTAGATACTTATCAAGAGCCTACCAAATGTGCAATTGTGGTTTTTTCATCATACAGATTTTCAGTATAAACATATAACAAACAGCTTTATTGAGTTCGGATGTACATACCATACAGTTCATCCATTTGATTTCTATGTTTACAAAGTAGTACAATCAGAGTGACTGAAAGGGTGAGTGTCATGAATTGAACTTATCAATGGACATGTTAAATTGAAACTCCCTTGTACAACTATTTGAAGGCTATTTTTTGTCAGTCTTGGGGCTTGAACTCAGGGTCTAGGCAAGCTGTTCCTGAGCTTTTGTACTCAAGGTTAGCACTCTATCACTTTGAGCCACAGTTTCACTTCCAGTTTTGGGGGTGGTTAATTGGAGATAAGAGTCTTACAGATTTTCCTGCTCAGGTTAGCTTCGGACCACAATCCTCAGATTTGAACCTCCTGAGTAGCTAGGATTACAGGTGTAAGCCACCAGAGCCCAGCCAAAGGTAATTAAAAAAACAAAAACAAAACAAAAAGAAAACCCCGCCAACGTAGTGGGTGAACAAATGCAACAGTGATACTTACTAGACACTATGTTGAAAATGAACTATATAATGGGGAGGGAGGGAAAAACTGGGAGAAAATGAGGGAAGATTGATATTGTTCAAAAAGAAATGTCCTCATTACCTGACTTACGTAACTCTAACCCCTTTGCACATCACCTTGACAGTGACAACTTTTAAAAAGACCAAAAAATAAAAAATTAAAGTAGCTCAGTCATTTCACAACCAATGCTTAGACATATTTATCACCTCCAAATGGGGTCTTATATCTCCCGTCCACCCTTCTATTTCTCGACCCCTGCAGCAGTTTTCTTTTCTCTCTCTGTGGATTTGCCTGTTCGGGACATTTTACATCAATTATGGATTGCTCTCGATGTCTGGCTTCTCTTGGTATAATACTTGCAGGTAGGTCCATGTTATACTGAATGTCAGCAATGCAGTCCTTTTATTAGTAGTAATATTCCACGCATGTACAGATCCCAATTGTTTATCCTTTTATCAGTTGATGGGAATTTGCATTGCTCCCACATTGACTGTGATGAGCAGAGCTGCCTGTGGAATTTGTGACATAGGTTTTCACTTTTCTTGGGAGTGAAATTGCTCAGCCAAACCCAGCTACATATAACTTTAGAGTACTATTACTTTAAAATTACTTGCTGGGTGCTGGTAGCTCATGCCTGTAATCCTAGCTATTCAGGAGACTGAGATCTGAGGATGGTGATTCAAAGCTACCCTGGGTAGGAAAGTTGGTAAAACTCTTATCTCCAATTAAGCACCCAACCAGAAGTAGAGCTGTGGTTCAAAATGGTAGAATGCTAACCTTGAGCACAAAAGCTCAGGGACAGTGCCCAGGCCCCAAGTTCAAGCCCCAAGACTAACAAAAATATTTGTTTTATTTTAAATTTATTTTATAAATACTTTATTTTATTTTCAATTCAGATACAATGAGACTTGACCTCCATAGGGAACAATAAAAGTTTGCACCTTTGCTAGCAAAACCCAAAGAAAGCATGATGCAAAATGTGCATTTGCTGTGGGACATAGATTGTTATAGCTTTCCCTGCTATTCTACTGCCTCAAAATGAGACACATGGAGATATGAAGGCTGGATTTGTGACTTTGTGCACATCACTTAATGTCTCTGAGCCTCAGCTTGAGGGGTGTTGGCGTTAGTGGTAATTACCATGCAGGATAATGGAGAAGCATTGAGAAGAAAGATCTGTAAAACCCAGGTATAGTGGCTGTTACTAATCCATATTGAAAAAATGTTAGCTTCTTCCTCTGTCTGCATCCTTGACCTAGTAGGATGAGGGAAGGACAGGTCTTTCCTCTCCAAGCCTCTCCTCTCTTTTCCTCTCCTCTCTCCCATCTCTTCTCCCTGCTCCCTTCTTCCCTCTAGCC